TAATATATGGTTATTATCATCATCCTCTATTGTTATTATTAGTAATAGTGTTGTACTATTTATATTATTATCGTCTTATTTTTTATATCATCATAATCAATATTATTATTACCATTATTCGTTGTTCTGGTTGTTTGTTTTTGTCGTTGTTACTATCACACAAATTATTATCACTATGATGATGAAGAGGAGGAAGAGAATTAGTAGGGGGAGGAGCAGGAGGAGGAAGAGGGGCAGGAGCAGGAGCAGGAGTAGGAGAAAGGAAGGAGGAGGAGGAGTAGGAGGAGGAGGAGGGGAGCATGAGGAGGAGGAGCATTGAGGAGGAGGAGCAGGAGGGAGGAGGAGGCATTATTACGAAGGAGTGCGAGTATACGAGGATTAAGAGTAGGATCGATGGATTATATGAGGATGATGATTATTATTATGAGGATGCATTAGTAGTAGTATATTATAATGGTTATCAGCAGTCATCAGCATCATCAGCAGGTTATATCAGTAATCTACGATTAGTATATGGATATCACCATCATGACCTATATTAATATTAATATCACCATCAGGAGCTACTATTAATTGCTATTGAAAATACGATCACGTGTTACTATTTATTATTAGTAACTTCTGCATCAAGCCATCGTTCAAAATTCAATATGTAAATCCGATTATCATATTCCGAATATTACATAGAATATTTCAAACAGTTTCAGAACACGATTAAATATATTTCTCTAACCTCTCTTTCTCGTATCTCGAGAATAACATTAGCGAAAGGACTTCTTTTAAATGTTCTACTTTTGTGACGGACCAGATGAAAGAGAAAAACCACAGACTCTTTGCATTAGGAGATACAGTGATAAAAAAATGAAAAAAATCGTGTGAATTGAGAAAACTGTGCAAAACATGAGGATTTAGTTCAAAACCTTTCCAGTTTGGTCTTTGATATCTTTTTTGCACTTCAATCGTGATATAGGAATAGACACCACGCACCACCCACAGATTAAATACGATACCACACGCGCAAACGCATATAGCTTCGTAGTTATAGCTATTATTATCATAGATATACATATATAGGCGAATATATTTACGCATCAATCGATCTATCTATCTATTCGATGAATATACATCAATCCTATACATACTGTCGCGGTTAGCTCAGTTCCATCCTAAACTATGGTTGGATTACACTCTAAAGGGCCCAATACGCCACCGTTTCAAGGTTATTGACTCGTTTTACTTCTTTATTTTTGTGGTAGCAAATGTGGGTTCCGAATAAGTCAAGGTAATTGGCACAGAAAGAGAATAATGATTGAGGACAAAAATAAAAAGAAAAAAACAGTCGTGTGGTGTAGTGTGGGTGGTGTGCTGTGTGTGTGTGTGTGTGTGTGTGTGTGTTGTGAATGAGTACGTGTGCGTGCGAGTGTGAGCGGGTTGTGTGATATAGGTGGGTTGCGGTGTGTCTAGGTGGTGTGTGTGTGGTGTGTATCGCGCTATACATGACGGGTGAATGTGGGCGGGGCGGGTGACGAGGGATATTCTGCGAACTGAAGTCGTGTGGGCGGGGGGTATGGTGCTGTGGGCGTGTAAAATGTGTCTGGGCTGAGCGTGTAAGTGTGTGTTGCGAGTTGTAAGTGTGGTGTTGTGCGTGATGTAGTGTAAGTGTGATGTTGACGCGTGTAAGTGTACGTGTAGTTGGTGGAACGAGGGTGGGAAAAAAAACTAAGGAAGGGGCTTCTTGTTGTGTGTGCGTGAGCGCTCCGACGTAGTTACGTGTAAACATACAGGTACGGGTAGGCAATTCTTTGTGTATTTGCATATTAAAACGTCTCCATCCCTTCTTAAAAATCAATTGGAACCACGGTTATACCCAGGACGGGAAAGGGAACATACTGTGTGGCCATGAAGTATGCTTTACAAAAGGAATGTTCCTTCCTTTCACAGTTCTAAATTATCAAATACAAATTAGAAATCGCAAAATATAAAATAAAGGGCGAGTTCTGGTGTTTCACTGGGAGGAGTGACAGCAAGTGACAGCATAACATATACACAAAACCAATATAATTTAGCGTTACCTTTCATATTCAGATCACAGGTCAATCTTTGACAATACGCGGGCGAAAGGAGTCCGTTACAAAAAAAGTTCAGTAAAGTACCAAAAACACAAAAGGCGACAGGCGCGTGTTTGCGTGTTGCCTTGGCGAACCCAAGCCTGCCTCTCTCTTGTCTCGAGTGTTGTGTATTCTCTGAGGGGCTACCCCCTGGTGTGCTCCTCACCTTCGCGGTATTAGCCACTACCTAGTTCAATAGTTTTTTTTCTGCTCAAGCACTTGTGCGCTAGTAATACCCATTGTCACAGTTAAATCTTGGGAGTTTTTAGTCTTGCACCATGGTATCCCCGACCTTTGCAGTTGATCGGGTTTGTTTCGCTTTTTTAACTATTTAGTTATATGACTGTTCATGCGTTTCAATTCGTACCGCCCAAATCTGGATTCACGACAAACCCCTCCATGGCCCGGGACGAAGGAATGTAGGGAGTCGATTACCTCCACTCGCCTCGAGTCTTGGATGGTGGTATCCCATAGGTTCCGCTCAGGGCCCCGCCCAGCGTGACGATCTGCCGCAGAAAAAATACGAAGCCATCATCGGGAATAAAGGACGAGCCGACCATTACAACGCTACATCTCCAGGAATTCTAGCAGGCAACAGCCGAGTTCCGCTCGTCTACATAGTCTATCCCAGTCCGTTCCGTCACCTCACCACTCGTTCATGGCAGCTATAGTGTCCCTTCTCATCTCCTAACGCTGGAATGCGGAGACCTTGTGACCAGACCAATCTGTGGAAGACACTCACAAGAACATCCAAAATACAGGGTGGGGGCCGCTTCTGCGCTCCCTCGCAGCGGCCAGACCTGTGGATATTAAACAGGCAGTAATTATAAAGGCTGTGTATACTGAGGACCGGCCCTCGAAGTCAAAACTACCAGAACTCTTAGAAATAATAAAATAAAACTAAAAGGAACATAAAATCGTGTAAAATGATCCAATAAAACAAATCACACCGATCAGAACCAAACTAAAAGACTGCTTACAAATTATTATAAAACAAACTTAAAACGAAGGCCTTAAAACTAACAGACATAAATAAACGGTATCACAAACTTAAAAGGTTAAAAGTTATGTTAAAATAACGTAAAGTAAAAACAAAAAAGGGGACATTACGAACATTAAACAGTAATACGAAATTTCAAACATTAAAACATTTAATAAAACATACAGTAATTACATATATACAAATAAAAAAATAAGGAAAAACCTCTATGTACTGACATCTAGCAAGGGCGTACAGACAGAGGAGGATAGAAGACAGTACTTCCGAGGATCTATATCAGCATCCTTCCTCACGATTTAACTGCTGTGAGTTAACAGATGGTCAGACTGTGGGTTGGGTTGAATTCACGAACGCTTAGCTCATCAGGTGTCCTAAAGGTTTTATTGGTAGCATGTAATCTGCGTTCTTTGTAAAGGTGGCTTCTACATCCCATGAGTGATATAGGTTACGGACCAACACGTTCATTATACAAGCTGGCCATCCCAGCGTGAACCACAGTTCTACGGAGACCAGACCAGTAAAGCCTGCGGAAGTTTCTGAAAAGGATCATGAAACCCACACTCATTTCGGACCTGTTCTACCTCGCTTATTATTAATCCTAGCCCCATGTTTCCCGAGCCCCGACGCGACCGTTCCTGACTGCAATGTCCGTGCTTCATGCAAAGCATCACTGAAACTCCTTTGCAGAATCTGTTGCAAACGTCCGGCATTAGAGAGACCTACAGGGAAAATGACCATGATGACCCATGAGAAGATTAAAGTGGCTGGTCACTACCGAGCGATGGAACGCACTGTTCAAAGCAAATCGAACCTGAGGGACATACTGATGCCACTCTATGGATCCGATCAGTTAGAGTTGCTAATGGTCTCTTTGACAACCTTGTTCGACCTCTCCACCATCCATTAGGCCTGTGGTGACATGCAATGGTAAGGTGAGTCTTAGTTTTTCCAATATACCAAACCTGCGTAGTAAACAACCTTGTTTGCTAAAACTCTCACCCACCGGTCTGTCTTGCAAGAGCCGTGGTGTACCAAAGATTGTCAAGAAGTCATTGATTATAAGCCTCATGCAATCAACCTCGGCCTCCTTAGACGGACTGGAATTAACTGCAAGAAAATAGTGTCAGATGGTAAATCAGAACAAGAATATACCTCTACCCAGCGTTGACATGCCCACAGTCTACAAGATCAGCTGACCACTCTCAAAGGGAGCTGATACTCTGGTGCAGCAGCTAAAGGGGCTCTGGGTGGAGAGTACCTTTCCTTCGCTGGCATGTTGCACAGAAGCAACATAGCTTTAAAAAACATCACGCAAACATGTTCGGGAAAGAGATAATCTCTTAACTTGATAGTACGAAATACACAAGGATGAGAGGCGAATGCCACTATCATGTGCAAGCTTCAAAGCGGCTGCAGTAATTGACCGAGGGGACACTACCAACTGACCCCTGTACTATCAATGCCCAGTAACTCCCCGAACATGATTAGAGAACACCACACCATTTTGCCAAAAGAAAATTCATCGGATTGAGCCAAAGGTATCTTAGTTCTTTGGCATGTTCTTTTCCTCCAGATACTCGATGATCCCAGGCAGAATGAGTCCTTAGTGGTTCTTCCCGACCTAGCAGTGGGATCAACATCAGCAGATCAATTTGCCCGACGGAAAACGAGGATAACATATTTGGCACTTTATGTTGAGCAATCCTGCTTATAAATGATTTTTTAAATTGGTAATGAGATAGCTCATAAGCCCAATCGGAATTCGGAAGGCGCTCTTGGTCTTCTCTGTAGTACAACTAAACTAATGGACGGTGATCGTGTACACAGTAAACTGGCTGCCATAGATATAAGGGATCAAAAGCCACGAAAACTCCTTCTACAACGGCCAAGAGCTATTCGGCATCTGTTGCAGAGTAGTCGTAACGTTGTTCTGCCCACGGAGGTTTTCGGAGAAAAGTATTGCAACTGCAGAAGGATGCCATGAAACATCCCTCTGCATTTAACATGCGCCAATAGCCAATTGTGAGCATCATATGTTTGCACCTCAAAGGGGTCATTTTAAAACGGAGGTTTCTGCAATATAGGGGCAAGGATGGCAATTTATCCTTCAGGACTGGAAGGGGCTTTTGTTCACGAATACCCCATCTAAAATGGCTGTGATCCTTCCTAGTTAGCAGGTGGTTAATGGTGCTGCTATAGAGACATACTTAGGTATATGTTTTCTAAAGAAGCCTGTGGCACCAAGAAAGCGGACGAACAAAATGAGAGGAAGGTGGAGGGGACACCGACCGCTCCTCCCTGTTTAATTCATACCGCCCTTACTCCCGGTGTCATATCTACAATTTAATACGCACCTTCTAAGGGTTGGCCAAAATACCTTAAGGTGTACTTAAATCAGGGGAATCGATAAAAAGTCCTGCACGCGCAAAAACTCGCATTTTGCCATGTTAAGCTGAAACCAGCTTAGTTAAGAACAAGTAAATAAGGGCTCCCCTTCATAAGCTGTACTAGATGAGACTTGAAGTCAGGACAAAAACTACAACAATCGTCCAGATAAGCAGAGTGTGCCTACCTAAAACTGGGGAAAGTACGATGTTCATGGGGACGCTGGATGTCGTTGGTGCGGTAGAAAGCACAAACGGCATCCTGCGAAATTGAAAGAGACGGTAACCACACTAAATGCAGTTTGGGTTTATCAGCAGGTGATACTGACAATGACCAATAAGCAGAACGGCTGTCAAGAAATGAAAAGACCTGATATGTTCCCTGAGTTCCGGTCTACAAGTTCGTCAATCCTCGGAGAGGATATGTATCAGCAACTGTTACAGAATTCAGATTTCTGTAATCTACACAAAAGCGTAAACTACCATCCTTCTTTTTCACTAATACACCAGGTGCAAGCATGGAAGATGTTGACGGCTCAATGATACCAGCTTTCAACATGTCATCACACTCCTTCCGGATCTTTTCTTTGGCTGGACGCAGGTAACGGCACTGTCTAGTGCATAAAGGTGTTGTATCACCTGTCACGATCTTATGGGTTACACCAGGAACCAAACGTACCAAACCAAAAAATTTTATACTAATACTCTTCCCCACCGTCCCTTCCTTATATACCCTTCCCCAGGTGGGGTAAGAAAAGCTAACTTAGTTAGCGGATCCTAAGGATCCTTGTCTTACCCCACCTGGGGAAGGGTATTAGTATAAAATTTTTTGGGAAGGTGAATTACGGCCAGAGTTTCTTAGTTGAGAATCCACGTGTGCAAAAACATTTCTCTATGGACAGTGATATTAATCTACAAAATCTCCTAGAGGTCATCAATAAGGAGATAGAAAAAGGTAAGTAAGGGAATCGGCTTAGGAAGTTAAACAAACTTCTTGAGGATGAGAAGCGGCAGCGGAAGTTAAACAAACTTCTGGAGGATGGGAAGCGGCAGCGGAAGTTAGAAAAACTTCTGGAGGATGGGAAGCGGCAGCGGAAGTTAGAAAAACTTCTGGAGGATGGGAAGCGGCAGCGGAAGTTAGAAAAACTTCTGGAGGATGGGAAGCGGCAGCGGAAGTTAGAAAAACTTGCAACTATTATATTGAATATAATATAAGTTATTTATTTTAAATTATTAATAGTTTTTTTTTCTCTTTTTAGGAGAAAATACAAGTAAGGAGAAGTTAGAAGAACTGTGGGAAAGTGTGTTTAAGAAATATCCAGACTTTGAGCCAGATTATAACGTACAAGAGATGGATACTGGGACGAATGTGCACAGATCGTTGAGGGGAGAAAGGTATTCCACCACACACCGACCCAAGAAATATCGGATATTACATCAAACAACAAAGAGAATGGTCCGAAAGAAAAAAGATCATTAGAGAGTGTGAGAAACACTACATCCGAGTCAGGAGGAAGTACAGGCATTAGAGACATTTGCAAATCACTTGAGAACATACGATCCAGCGAATTACGATCCTCGGACAATAGTATCATTTTTGCTGCGGCAAGCACACAGGGGGGGGAAAACTCCAAGTCGGTACATCAGACAGCATTCGATTGACGATAAAATGGATGATGAGAAGTGATGAAATATACACGCTTAGTATAGAACAAAACAAGTCATGGAAGGGTAACACAAACTCGAGATTGGGTGAGAACAGTGGAAGACCTATTCCCTGGATTGGAGAGAGCAATACAGGAACTAAGAATGTATGGAAACATTACAGAATTGGAGAGAGAGTACAATAAGAATAATAAATGTATGGAACTCTCTAAAGAACAAGACAACAAAGGGAGCATGGTCAGACCTAAAAAATCTGGACAGAGAAAGACAAATTAGTGGAAGTACCAAGAGAGGATCAAATAAAAAGACCGAGAGTCCAGGAAGAAGAAACAACGGGAACTCCAGTAGCAAAAAGGACAAGACTACAGGAGGAGAGAAAGAAGAACCAACCATTAGAAGAAAGAGAAGAAGAGAAGATCAGAACTTGGGGAGGAAATGGAAGGAAAACACCAAGAAAGCTCTCAAGAGGAGCAAGGAGAGCCTTGAATTTTCAGTACAACGCACAGAGAATAGTGAACTTGGACAATCAAGCGAAGATGAGTGACGGTATTATTCGATTCAGTACCAGCTAAACAGTTAGAAGGAGTTTAGAAGGAGAGATATTGGAACAGTTAAAGACAGAGATGAATCAATAACGAGGAGAAACATTCCGTGAACCACTTACACACTCCATCCAAGTGTAATAGTCCACAAGTCATCGACATCGCTGACAGTGACTCTGATGAACAGTGCTTCCAGAGTAATAAGGGAGAATTTCATACAATTGATATTAAGATGGAGTCAGAACAACAATCTACAACCGACATCGATTAAAGAAGAAAATCCAATACAACCAAGTGGAGGGTATTTATACCGTGAGGAAAGGGGAGAAGATAGAAGAGGATCTGAAGAATTTAATACTAGGAAGGATCAGGGATCCAGATTACTTACTGATACCAATGAACAACCAATGGCACCTGGGGAAAAGAATATGTCAGATATTCATAAAAGGACAAGTATCAGAAGAGAAGAGAAAGATGGTTCCGCGGACACGGGCAGAGAACGCAAAGAACGAGAGGAAATTATACTTCCTGAACAAGGAGAAGAAGAAGACAGGGTTAGAGCAGGAACTAGCGGACAACATGAAAGACAGAGAACCTAGTGCTGGATGGGAAGAGGATGATCTAATGAATCAGGATCAGAACCAGAGGAACAGTGGGAGAATATCTACTCCTTCGTTGTCATGGAAGAACATTAGACCAACAAGAAACTCAAAATGCAAGTACTCATATGCAAGACATGGACGAGGAACAGACAGAGAACACATCCATATTATCTTCTCAGCATACTTCTCAAACAAATGGAGAGCAGTGGACAGAATTGCTGCATCACTTGACCTTAATGAGACCCAAACTGCAATCGCTAAGAGAAGTGTTATCAAGATCAGGAATCCCCACAAATTTGCAGTATACTTAGCCGCTCGGGTATCAGAGACACATGGACCCACTATAATGGTGGACTTCAGTTAATAATTCAATTTTTACATGAATATCAAGGAATAATAGAGGCTGAGAATGTAAATACAGAAGAAGGATTGACATACTGTGGGGAACATTGAATAAACAAAGAAGAAAGATCAACAAAAGTAAAGATAAAGAATTATGATGTTCAGCTTGAAACAATTGTATTGCTTTATTTGAGAAGTACAGACCTCTAGCCACCAGGACAAATAAAGAACAAGATTCCTCCACATGAGAAGATGAACATGTTCCGTACTTATGACCTTATGGTCTACAGTAATGAAAAACTGTCATGAGAATGGTGGTTGCAGATGGAAAATGAGATACTAAGAGAGATGACTTACCTAGAGAGACTAAGATATGTCTATAAGAATGACAGAGAACTTACAGAAGATGAGATGGATATGGTATATAGATTTGTATCTATAATTGAAAAGAATAATATAACTTCAAGGACTTCATTGCAAAATTCTGCTATGTCTTCAATGGTATTAATTCAAAGATACAATGGATTTGTAATACAAGGAGTATCTAATGCTGGAAAGTCGTTGGTTTCAAAGATATTATTGCACAACCTACATCCAACGAAGATAACGAAGAATTCGAATGGTAGCAGTTTCCGGTTCTCAAGGTTGCCAGACAGTAATTGTGTACTGTGGGAGGAGGCAAGCATACCTTCAACAGAGGTTGATACATTGAAATCTTTATTAGGAGGTGATTGAAGCAATGGAAAAACAGATGTTAAACACTCAGACCATCAAGAAATACCAAATATACCTTGGATCATAACAACAAATAGAGACATAGCAGAAAGGCTGGAGGGAGAAGATAAAACAAGTATCTTAAACAGGATATTTAAGTTTGAATTCAAGCGAGTGTTGGCAACCGAGGACACTGAGCCCTATATAGAGGAGGTGGTGATACAGAGGTTCTTACTGTTGAACGAACCTCGGTTGAGTGAACTTGTACGAGAAGTGAAACCACACGGACTACAGCATGGCGTACCAAACTCCACCCTACACGCCACACGGAGAAGAGAGGTCAGAGGAGAGATCTTCTAGAAAGAGAAGAGCAGTTGGATACCCCGCTGCTAATGAGAAGGAACAGGTAATTATTAATTTATTTTATTGTTAATATATTTATTAATTAGTTTTTAAATGTAAATGTTCTAATATAATTACTTTCTTTAATTTCAGTTGAGTCTATTGGAATTCCCATAGGGAATTACCTTTGACAAGAGTATATTCACGAATCCTTTAAAGTCTGGTGAAAGTGCAATATTAGAGGTGCAGAGCACTTAAGGAAGAAAATGGTGGTTATTTACAAATAAATATTACTTTACTTTGGATGACGGGAAAATATATTTAATTCTGATTTACCTATGGATTCTCTTTCCCTTCAAAAAAAGAGTAATGAAGTAAAAGTATATAATCATTATTGCAGTTTTTAAGTAAAAAGGCACAGATTGTACATGCTGGATGGAGAATGAAATTTGTGGAGGGTCAACATTCAACTGAGATAAAAATGGAGAGCAACAGAAATAAGAAAACAACATGGTGATATTAAGATTTATGTTGGTAATACTTTGGATGTAACAGAATGCAACTTGCCAAGTGATGATGTAACTGAAGCAGATAAAAATATGGACTGTGCAATGAGGAGGAGGTTGCATTAAATGGAGACAAGTATAATAGTATTGCTCGATGGAAACCTTCAATTAAGGTTCCAGGAGATATATATAATAAAACTGTATTAACTAATTCAAGATGTTACAGGACCACATATTGCTGATCTTATGAGAAAAAGTGTAGAGAGTTTACCAGTTGCACGATTACTACCAACTTGTGATCCAGCAAATGATGGAGATGCTATTGGATATAAAGTAGCTGTTTGGAATACTGATAACTTTTTGGGAACAGCACATGACTGGATAGAGACATGGCATAGTACGAACTTAAGTAGCTATATCCCAACACCTCTACCTCATCTACTGCTGGAACATATAAACTAATCCTACTTATGCTTAATTACAGATAGGATTGCTTGGCAAATTAAGGAGACTCTACTTCCGGCTCCGGTCTCCATTCTCAAAGTTGGATGCTGAGAACTATACCATATATTGTGCTGAAAGGATTAAGAGGAATAATGGAGAGGACTGCACATCTTGTCAATGTACTTAGCAGAAGGAAGAGAGAAATTTAAGAGAATTTGGTGTCCTATTGTATTCCAGAACCTATTGACTCAAATGTTAATTATGTACCTTTAGAGAATAAGACTTATTATGATTTATTGTCATGTGGACTTATCCCATTTAAAAACTTTGGGGTTACTGTTCAGATTAATGATTGTGACATGTCTTTTATTAGCTTTGACTTATTGTTTAGGATACTAACATTATTTTAATGTAAGCCAATTGGTTATGCTATTAACAAATAAAGATAAGAGCTTCTAAATAATGTTTATATATCCTTTAACTACATAATTGATTATAAATAAATAGAGTGCCTTCCATAAACTCTATATATAAACACATACCGCTTCCGATCCTTCAGAAGTTTTTCTAACTTCCGCTGCCGCTTCCCATCCTCCAGAAGTTTTTCTAACTTCCGCTGCCGCTTCCATCCTCCAGAAGTTTTTCTAACTTCCGCTGCCGCTTCCCATCCTCCAGAAGTTTTTTTCTAACTTCCGCTGCCGCTTCCCATCCTCCAGAAGTTTTTCTAACTTCTTAAGCCGCTTCCTATACTTCAATTTATATATACGACTTCACAACTATAGAACTTTGGCCGTAATTCACCTTCCCAAAAATATTTTATTATTAGGCTTCCCGAATAGTAAAATATTCCAAAAGCCCCGCTTTCGGCCAAAGGTTTAAATTTAATTATTTACTAACGCTAACTTAGTTAGCGGTCCCTGAGAAGAGAGAAGGGAACTTTGCAAGAACTTCCTTTAACTGTTTTCCCCGGTTCTTTGAGTTAAATGACCAGAAGATGGCCCGCAGCAACCTCCTCCCTATCTGCTTCAATTAGTGCCGATTCTGCGATGGCACTTGCTTCTAAAGCAGCAAATCGATTCTCCCCACAGTATCACTATCAGGTAACAAGAGAACAGATCATCATCTACCTGAGAATCCTCTGCCAACTGAAGACAATGCCCTGGTCAACTTCATCCTCTTCCCAATCAAATCTGGTACCCTTATGATTGTCCAGATCAACAGCTGTTGCTCTTTCTGAAAATAGTTTACCTTTAGTTTCTACAGCATTGAAAAGATCTAAACCTTCTTCAGCTACACAAAAATGAGCCCATTTCGGATTGGTACAGGTTTAGCTGTTAAATTTACCACAAAAACAGAGCATCTATCCTTCTGCGGAACCACTAGCGTCCGAGGGATATCAAGTGCCGTAGTGCAGCTACTTATTAAGAACTGGCTTCCA